CCTGCAGCTACCAATTCATAAAGTCCATCGTAACTTTCATTTTTTAACATATCGGCTGAATATACACTTGCTGTTAATAATTATCGCCATTTCTCGTGGGTCATAACTGAAAACTTAGGCCAATCATTTACCACAAATCTAAAAATTTGTGAACGCACCACCATCGCCACCATTTTCTTGGGTTCCGTACATTAAAAATAAAAGAGCACGGAACAAACAGGTGCCGTCACCTATAATGGGAACGACAGTATGTTCTTTCTTTTTTCCTTTAATATTAAGATATCTGTAGCCATTTTTCAGTGAGAAAAAATAATTCTATCAACCATACCTAATTACAAAGCAAATCGAATTCCAAGTTTGAAAAGTGGTTGTAAGAAAGACAAAATCAAGCAACTAATCCGAAAAAAGAAGTAAATCTTAAAACGTAAATAAGCAAACAAAGTCGAAGTCTAGTCAAATATCCGTTAACAGTGGATAGGTACCGTATGTGGTACAGGTTGAAGCGCTCATTCACAATTTCTTTTATAATTAGTTCGAAAAAAATACAACGTTACCGAGTTCTAAAACGATACCATCGCCATCTATTGGCAGGCATGGGAACTTGAAGATCAATACAAAATAGGTATGAACCTAAGTATTTCTTTCGGTTTTGCCATTTTATTAATTTTTAAAAAAATATTTTTGATTTATATTTTATTTTCATTGTTTTTTAATTTTTAAATTAGTGTTTTCTTGTTTAGGTGTAATTTTGTGCAAATTTTTTGTACAAATCTTCTTGTCTACTTTGTTTTATGTGTATTATAAATTAAGTTTAAAATATTTATCAATATCATTTACGTTATTTACGACCCAAAAACCATAAAAATGACACCCAAGTCACCCAACCAATGATGATTTTTACATACAAACATACATCCATTCATCCTTCCATCCATGTTGGTTTCAAACCATAATCGATGCCATTTTCGTAATTAACGTCCCAAAAACTATAAAACGACACCCATATTGACTTTTCTACCACAACGACCCGATAAACCATGAAACCGATACCTATGTTGATTTTCAGAATTTGTCACCGCTTTTCCACCTTTAACGGGTCTAATTCTGAAAGAGCCTGAAACAATTGTTTACTCATTTATTGACAGGAGTACTCCCGTTAAGGTTCCAAAGAAAATAGTTTAACTAATCTGGTTTCCTCATACAAACATTCAACCCCTTTTTCACCCCCTTAGTGGGGACACGTTATTTTTATATCTAATTGTTAACCTAAAAGAAAACTTTCAAACTTCTAGCTCTAAAAATGATGGACTTCCATACAAACTTTTAACCCCTTTTTCACCCCTTAGGGGGCAAATTTTCAAAAATCCTTCTTTGTGGATGCCTACGTTATTACAACTGTCTGTATGCCAAATTTCAGCAAAATACGTTTAGTAGTTTCAGCTGTGCGTTGATAGATGAGTCAGTTAGGTTTGCCTCAAAATGATTGATCTCGAAGTTACAAAGTATCTCGTTTGTACCCCCGAGTGGCTCTTTATTTTTCTTATAGTTTACCTACAAACAGGAAAGTTTAGTGAAATAACAAATTTACTCAACTATGCATTATTAAAATCAAATATCAAACTTTCTTCTGTCATTTATTTTTTTATATGTGAACGTAAGTTTTCGTCTACATGTCAACATTCAATACATGTCCACATTCAATACACATTTTGGATACGAAATATCATAGTTTTTACCCTAGAACCAAATATCATATAAATATTACACATCCTAATAAATATTCATTCTCCCACAGAAGTTCGTCAAAAGTCCAACTATATCAAAGTGGAGTAGAAAGGGACACAATATATTTTAGTCATTTTAACGCTTCAGTGCACAATCGTGTTTATATACAATATCTTTGGTTCAACTATTAAATATTCATGTGCCTACCACATGGACCTAGAAGTAGGGCAGTAGAAGAAGGGCAGTCGCTGTCTCTAAAAACAATTACTGACGCACCCATAGAAAGTCAGCTCGCTAATACAAACAAGCGAGCACGCACACATGCACACAATAATAAGCCATTACGCTTCATACTGCGCCCGCATAATGTTTTGAGTTGAAACTACATCTATGAGTGAAAAGATGCCGTCTTGTGTTGTGAAACATTGTCGAAACCATAGTGGTTTCATTAAAAAAAGCCAGGGAATCACTTTTCATAGGTAAGTAAGTAATTTATTCACCTTATTTCTCGTTTATACCAGTGTTGCTAGTTATTCAATTTGCAAGTTACCTTATATGTGGGAGATTAATATATTTTTGTTCACTTTGAATCGTTTCTTAATTCATTTACCTACCTCTGTTTATACTTGTGGCCGTAGAAGGAAAAGGGGAGATCTCCCGCCGGGCAAGGTGTTATGCCCGGGGAGTGGCCAACGCTCCGTGTGATAGTTCGGAGAAGTTCTATATATGCTGTTTATGATTCGGAATGTTGATAGCGTGATTTAGGCTTCGGTATGTTTCGCTTGCGGCGCGACGACAGCGCCGCCACATCAACCCCCGGCTTAGAACAGAGGTCAATAGTGCAGTCCGATCGCCGGTGCGTCCTTAATGCTGGTGGGGAATGCATGCTGTGTGCGTAAGGGCAAGTGACACCGGTGCGAATGATATACCGATGTGTAATGCATGCCGTACTACGCACTGGCAAGTGATGCCGGTGAGAACGATGTGCCGGAGCAAGTGCCAAAAGTCTGCCTTATAAATCTGCGATGAGTCGAGACGAAGACAAGTTGGACTGGCTTGCAGGAACTGAAGACTGCAGAAGACGATTCTCAGTAGTGAATGGTAGGGGTTCTTGAGGATAATGACGAAGGCTTGAAGTTGTAGTTTCCGAAGGTGTTTGGTTTGCGTGTTCAGATCACGTCGGATGTTCACCACTGTGACCGTAGAAGGAAAAGGGGAGATCTCCCGCCGGGCAAGGTGTTATGCCCGGGGAGTGGCCAACGCTCCGTGTGATAGTTCGGAGAAGTTCTATATATGCTGTTTATGATTCGGAATGTTGATTGCGTGATTTAGGCTTCGGTATGTGTCGCTTGCGGCGCGACGACAGCGCCGCCACATTTTTTGTCCCATGTTACAAAACCATATGTTATAAATCTTAAATTTTTTAGATTTCCCTCTACAAATGATGTGTGGAAAAATGACTGGGTGTAAATAATAAGAAACTGTAGAAATAAAAACAATTGAAATCCATCTAAATCTAGTCTAATCCGTAGTAAACCTTTCAAGGAGAATGATGTTTTATACACAAGATAAGGTGAATTTCTTCGCATTGTTAATTATGCCACTAAATTGACCAAAAAGCATTTGCTGGAGTAGAATATAAAATAAATCTCATTAAATATACATCCGAAAAAATCGGAATATTCGTTTTCACCGTATAGCCAAATTGGAGGAATTTCAAAACCTTTTGACAGTAAAAAACAATGTTATAAAAATTTTTGCAAACAAATGGTGTTCTAAGAAACGTAATACGAATAAAAGTAAATATTTTTACATTCAATGTGTTTAATTACAATTTTGTTTTAATAAACTTAAAATCCTGGTTCCGAGAACTGTGATGAATGTCTTAAATTTACTTGAAATATTTTTTTAAATGGGTAATTTTTCTTCATCTGGCAATCCTCTACACGCTCATAGATTTTACGTTTCACGAATTACGTGGCCGTCATTGCGCTTCTTCAATTGTTTCTTAGCGAGACTCTATCCGCTTTTTTTTAGGTCCATGGTGGTGGGATTCTCTGTAACAATTTCTTTGGCTGATACCTACATACTTTAAGGCTTCGACCATAGCTATAGAATAATGGATTAACAAATAGGGTTTGGCGGGAAATTGGTCGTTGTCTGTTGCTCCGGTTTTATCGCTTAAATAATGAATAATTAAAGTGGATTTTGATTCGTAAAAGTGATGCGCGTATTAGAGAAAACGGCGAAACAAGTGCTTCGATGTTGATATAAACCTTAATTTATTTTGATCGCTTAAGCGCTTTATGAACTTAAGTGACTATCGTCATCAACTATCCGCTGAATTGAACTGTCGTCAAAATCTCCTAAAAACTTTACAATGGCGCATCAGCACATTGTGAAGAAAAAATCTACATGGTAGCTACAGTGTAGATTTTACAGAACTTTTTATAATTTTTTATTGCACAGTCTTTCACCATACTTATTTTTATAATAATTATTTTATTGCTTTCAAAACTATAATTTTCAAAATCACTCACAACGTACTTTACGGCGATTTATCATACCCCGTAGCTACTCGTGCGCTATTGTGCTTGAGCGATTGTGTGTGTGTGCAAGAGTTTTTGAACTGTTATTCACTGCTTACAGATGGACACATTTTCAACTAATCTCTTATGGGAGACATACATACATACATTACTCCATGGAATAATGCTTGAACCTGACACACTGAGTTTTGGCGGAAACTTGGCCGTAAACGGATTGTCGCTCCTGTTTTGTCGCTTGAATAGTGGTTTCAAGTGGATTTTGATTCATAAAAGTGATGCGATTTTGTGAATTAAGTGTCCGCGCGTGTGAGCTGTTAGAGAAAACGACGAAACAAGTGCTTAGATGTTGATATAAGCCCCAAGTTATTTTGATCGCTTGGGCGCCTTATGAACTTAAGTGGCTGTCGTCATCAACTGTCTACTAGGTTGACCTGTCGTTAAAATCTCCCAAGGGCTTCGCAATGTGACGCATCAGCATATTGTGAAGAAAAAGAATATAAAATGAAGATTCCGAAAGAAATAATAGGCTCAGAAGGGCTAGAACCCAGAGCCGTCAATTCAGTTAATAAAAAAGCTGACACGCTGAAACTGACAGTTGACAGATGACATAAACACCTACTTCACTTCATACAGGATTCAAGTGATCCAAGAGTCGAAGTTTTCAAGTAGTTTGTAGTTTCCGTTATCGGCATTAAAATTACTTCAAGTATATATAAGTTTAATAAAATGTCTGTTGAAATAAATTCTATTAAATCCCATAAAGTAAGAAGCATTCCAAGTGGAGAGGTACAGTACATAACTATTTTTAATACATAATTTTTATCTTAATTTAATTTTTTTATACGTCAGTGAAATTATCGTTAATTGCTGTATTTAGTGCTTGATAGTTGCAGATTACTCAATTATCGATTCAAATAGCAAGCGATGGCTGTATTTTGCCTGATGACCTAAAATCATTCATGCCTAAAGAAAGTGGCATCGGAAAAGTCTTATGTTATATATACTTTGTAAAGTACACCAATCTTTCCTTCAATAATATAGATATATTTTATTTAAAACCTGAATTAATCCTTTAATTATTATTGATGTCAAGTGATAGTGTCAAGATTTTTATATAGTGGCAGAATAATCAGTATACATAAGTAAACATTCTAATAATTACAACTGTTTATTGATCTATAAAATAGTAGAAAGCTTGATACAACTGTACAGAACCTACAATGGATTTGAAGGTTTAAATGTTTAAGGGGAATATATCATACAGTGGATTTCATTAATAACAACTTTGGTTTTAGGAACTTTGGTTATAAAGATGTTACTTTGCAGTCCCTTGAATTTTACATATATTTCAGATAAAGAATTGTATAATAAAGAATAGAAAAACAATTTCAGGCTTAGCAACCAGTTTTAATGAGTCATTCATAAGAAATTCCCTGAAATTTTGCAGGTATTATGACAGAGTCTATACTCAATAAAAGAGTCAACAAATAAATACACTAATATTAGTGTTCATTTATAGTCATTAAACTTTCTTATCTAATAATAATAATAATAATAAAAAAAACTTAATAAAAATAATAGATTGTTTATTGTTTCTCAATACAATTATCTCTTGTTCGTAATCCCATATATTGGAAAAATTTTTTTTTTTTAGGAAAAAGAAATTTTTTTACTCCCTTGGTATACAAATATTACGTACAGTTACATTATTATTATTTTATTTCATTTTATTATTTAGCTGCAGCTGTGATAATACACTTAAAATTAGTAACTCAGTAATTTTGGGATGTTAGATCGTTTGTTTGTCATGGCACCGTTAGAAGAACCTTTACGGTTAAAGAAAAAGTTAATATTAATTAGTGTCTTGAGAATGGTAAAAGCAATATTATTTTGTGCAAACAATTAAATATTTTGCATTCTACAGTGTCAACGATGTGAAAAAACCGCTCTGTAGTTATGCAATGCTTCAAAAAAAAAAAGTATTATTTGACAATAAATATTATTTTTATGCTTTCTGTCATTTCTATGTCAAGTTTTCTAAGTCCTTCCCACTCCTACCTGTGGTTAGAGTTACTTCTGGATATAGTCATAAAATTACAATGGTCCATTCATCATCATTATAAATGAAATCAACTGTATTTTCATAGTCTAACCTTAAAATATGATACTGATGCATTGAGAATTCGGGATGTTTTTGCTATTATTTTTAGATTAGACTTACCATTTCATTACCCATCCATTGCAGCCTATAAAAGTCCACTCCTGAACATAGGTCTTCCTCATAATATGTTGCTTCATTTTGCCACATTTGATAAGCAAGTTGGCAAGTGCAGTTTTTTATTATTTTGAGTGGTTATCAGAAAGTAGGCATGGGCCAAATATGGATTTCACCGAATACGAGTATTCAGCCAAAAGTTCGGTAAAACTTTTACCAAATAGAATATTTGGCTGAACATTATTCGGCGGGATCACCTCTGTACCTAACCAATTTATGTCGAAACTTGTTTCCGTAAAGCTTGCGGGATTACCGCCGGACTCTGTCCCTCGCTCCCCTGCCACACCTGACATGTTATTGCATCATCTAATACTGAGCAAGTTACCGGCACATGTGTTTTTTGACTATTTTAGTGAGTAAAAAAGTATTTCGTTGTGTTATTATTAGTGAAAGTTGATAATTATATGATAAAAATAAGTGGCAGGAAAATCTACTATTTGGACTTGTTTTAGAGAAACCGACTACCAATGTAAAGTCAAATGTATTAATATAATGTAATGTTTCTTTGTTTGATTACAAAAACATTTTATCAAGCTTTTTATTTACTATGATTAGAAATAAGTCTACAGTGCCTCTAAAACGTGGCATTACTCAATTCGCACATTTCAATACAGTGGACACTATGAGTACCACTTTAACAAATGTTTGGTGATTAAGCCGAATATTCGGCCGAATACGAATATTCGGTAAAGCTGCCGAATACCGAATATGAAATGAATATTCAACTCATCTCTATCAGGAAGATGCTGCTGCTCATCTCGTGTTTTATTTTAACTCTGTCGCCTCTTACAACACCCTCGGGATGACATGGAGTAGTGGGTATTCTTACACTGCCAGTACACGGTTATCAATTATCATAGAATTATAGCCTGTCAGATGGTCACTGCTGAATCAAGGTGTCTTCTATAAATTGCCTCAAACTTGGCGAACAGGTTGTCAACTGCAGAATTTTAATTTATATCTAGCTGTTATCAGGACGATGCTGCTTCATTGTCAGGGATGGCAGCTGGCTTAATTTTTTTCTGTTGCCTCATATGACACTCATGGGGTAGTGGATATTTTTACACCATCACTACATGCAACGCCGTCTTAGGCCATACCTGGGCCCTTAGTCACACAAGAATTTGGGGTCCCCCTGTAAATGACAAAAACATTTTTCTGCTATGATCTTATATTTATCATAGTTAATGGGTAAAAATCAAATAATATGTCATTAATGAGCGCATTAACGACTTTTTCTGCCACTAGGGCGGCACCTAAAGTACATATTTTCTACCTAGGAAATCTGTCAATGCCACTTTTTCTGGCTAACTTGGCAATGTGTGGCTTGTCACTGCTCAGGATTGCCAGAAAGTCACTAACAACACCCTCATTTAGTCTATAATTTTTTTTCTCGGGTTATATTTTCCTAAAATAGAAAAAAAGATTGTATAGCGTAAGCGAATAAGACCGATGCCTTTCGCCACTCCCCTTTGATGACAACTTGGGCCCCGTGTGCCCTTATGGTAAAGGCAGTACTGACTACATGAGAGAAATTACACTTGTGTAGTTTTAATAGCCTAATAGCCTACAAACAATGTGTAAATATTTTATGAAGTTATAATATTATATCACATAAAAAAGGTTGACTGATTAAGAATGCCTTTAACAGTCGTAGAGCCACGCGGCAGCTTTGCTGTTGCACGTATGGGCCGGCTCAAACCGGGGTAATACCACGAACTCACAGAATACCGGCGTGAAATGGCAGCTCTGCTTTCGCGTTTCGTCTGGTGAGTGCAGGTGGCTGGAGCCCCAAATCCCCCTTCCCCCCTTAACATGGTAGCGGAATTAAGTGAAGACCTACCCCAGGAGGGTACCAGCACCCCTGGAGAATCCCTCGCTGAGCATCCACGACTAAGTTACTCCACTCCTGAGCGTGGGTGCTCAGGCTGCCTCGCGTATTCTGGGGGGGGGAGGGGGCAAAATTCCGCTCAAGACTACAACTGCTCGAGGCAAACGGAGAAACGGACCCCTGCCACGCTATCCGTGAATTTCTGCAATATTAGGGGACTTCACTCTAACCTAAACGCCGTCCACTACCATCTCGAGACGGCGAGGCCGGCTCTGCTCTTTCTGACCGAGACGCAGGTGTCCTCTCCGGCTGATGTCTCGTATCTCTCCTACCCGTGGTACAAACTGGAACACTCCTTTGTGCCTCGGGCTGGAGTTTGCGTTTACGTTAGAGAGGACATCTGTTCTCGACGCCTCGGCAGACTTAAAGGTTAGGACCTGTCCATCCTTTGGCTACGCGTAGACAGCGACGACCACCCGCGCGTCTACGGGTGCCTTTATAGGTCCCATAGCGGTAATGCCGAAACAGACCGACGCTTTGACCACGTCCAAATGGCTGCAGATTCGTTGCTACAGCAGATGCCCTCCGCAGAGATCGTGATCCTCGGCGACTTTAACGCCCATCACGCCGAATGGCTTGGTTCACGCTTAACCGATCATGCAGGGAGATCTTTTCGTGATTTTAACTTGGCATATGGTCTGACACAACTGCACCTTCCCTGTTGGACCTTCTGCAGACCTCTCACCCAAACGGATATCAGATTTCCATCGACGCCCCTTTAGGCTCCTCGGACCATTGTCTTGTCCGGAGTGTGGTGCCACTCACGCTGAAATCGCAGTTACATTCTGCAGGCTGCCGTCGTGTTTGGCACTATAGGTCAACCGATTGGGATGGGATGCGGTCTTTCTTTGCATCCTACCTTTGGGGTCAGGTTTGCTTCTCGCCGGACGATCCCAACGTTGTTGCGGATTCTGTCGCTGATGTGGTACTTCAGGGTATGAAACTTTTTATTCCTTCCTCTGTGGTGCCCATTGGAGGCATTCTTTGATTTGTGGAATAGCCAGATGCCAAACCAGGTGCCGCTCTAAAAAGAAGTATAATTCCGCCTCTAGGTCCTTCAAAAGTGTCATTGCCAAGGCAAAGTCAGAGCACATAGGTAGAATTGGCGAGAAACTAGTTCGCCTTTTTTCTGAAACCCGTGCATTCTAGTCTCTCGCCAAGGCTGTCCTGGGGAATTTCCGTCAGCCATCTATTCCACAGGGAGGACGACTCATTGGCCCATATCGCAAAGGAGAAAGCCGATCTGCTAGGCTGTTTCTTTGCGTCCAACTCGACTCTCGATGGCGGGGGGAGTACGCCGCCGACCATCCCGCGGTGTGAGTGCTCCATGCCGGAAGTGCACTTTACACAGCGCTCGGTTCGCAAAGCACTCCTCTCCCTGGACATCCAAAAGTGCCGTTTCACAAGGAGTTTTCTTCCGCGTACGACCTCTCTGTGGAATAGTTTACCACCGGCGATTTTTCCGAACCGACACGACCTGGGGACCTTCAAGAAAAGAGCTTACTCCTTTCTAAAAGGCCGGCAACGCACCTGCAATTTCCTGGTGTTGCGGTTGATCATGGGCGGCGGTAGTCACTTAACCGTGAGCCGCATGCTCGTTTGCCCCCTCTTCTATATAAA